ATAATTTCTAGGAGGAGGAAAAGAAAATTTTAGACTGATTTTACATTTTTAGTGTTTTTGATTGTTTTTTCTTTAGCCTGCATCTCTGTATGTCCTAGAGGAATTGTACAGTGTGCGAAGATATGCACTCCTGCAAAAAATATCCCACCCAACACACTCACTTTGAATTAGTAATAGAAGAACATGAGAGAAAAAGGGGGAAAACCAGGCTCTATTTGTACAAGAAAGCATTTTGTGTCCCTCACAGCAATATTTTTTCTTCTGCAAGTTGGGAGGAACTGTGACTAGCAGATAATGCCACATTCATGTTTACTTTGGTTCAACAGGAACACAGGGTTTTTCCCAAAACTCAAGAGCTGGCAGCAGCACAGTTATTGCATACAGACTTTGAAGAGTTTGGGAACTATTTTTCACAGAGTCAGTGTTGTTGAGGTTGGAAGGGACCTCTGGAGATCGCCCAGCCCAACCCCTCTGCCAAGGCAGGGTCACCTTGAGCAGATTGCACAAGGAAATGTCCAGGTGGGGTTTAAATGTCTCCAGAGAAAGAGAATCCATGACCTCCCCGGGCAGCCATTCCAGTGCTCTGGCCCATTAGCACAAAGAAGTTCTACCTCATGTTGAGTGGAACTTCTTGTGATTTAATTTGTGGCCACTGCTCCTCATCCTGGCACTGGCACCACTGAAAAGGGCCTGGCACCATCCTCTTGCCACTCACCCTTGAGGTATTTATGAATATTGACAAGATCCCCTCTCAGTCTTGTCTTCCACAACTTGGCTTTTTCATAAATTTGATTGAGAAGAATGTCTTGGATCACCCACTATGCAAGGATGAGTGTTCTCAGGAAAACTTAGGATGGAAAAGGACGGGATAGATGAGCTATTCCAGTGGTGAATGGATGCTAAGGAGCAATTTCAGTCATGATAGCCTTTCCTGATAACCTTGATACGTAAGAAAGCACATAAAATATAAACAATTTGTCTTCCTGTCTCTTCCTCCTACCTTTTCCCAAGCTTCTTGGAATATATTGGACTGTAGGCAAAATGAGTTTAGAGGCTGTTACTGTAGAGAGGCAAAGGCCAAGGTAACAGTGACCTCCACCCTGGCCAACATCAGCGTTCCAAGACTCTCTGTTTAAACAGCTCTGCATAAAATCATCATCTGTAAGTTACGAAAGTAACGTTACCTCTACCCGGCTGTGGTGCAGTTTGAAATGATGGAAATGAACCATGGATTTCCCCTCGCCGCGCTGGGGTTTGCGGCCGGGCTGCTGCGGTCCATGGCTCGCCGCCTACGAGCAGCTCACACCCACCGGGAGATGGGGCTGCCCTCAGGAGCCCGGGGAGCGCCGGCGGCCGCAGGGAAGCGGCTGTGCCCCCTCAGGGACCGGGAGCACTGCGGGAATTGGGACGGGCCGGAGGTGCAGCCGCAGGGAAGCGGCTGTGCCCCCTCAGGAGGCGGGAGCAGCAGGGGAATTGGGACAGGCCGGAGCCGTCCCGGACAGGGGCTGCGCGGCGCCATTGCAGCGTTCCTCTACAGGCAAGAGGAACAACTCCACATGGCGGCTCGTTGGTCTAGGGGTATGATTCTCGCTTAGGGTGCGAGAGGTCCCGGGTTCAAATCCCGGACGAGCCCTGTTTTTCTCTTTTTTTAATCATTTTCTCCGCAGCAGCAGCGGCTCTTGCACACAGCGAAGGGGCACGGAGGGGACTGACAACGAGACCCACTCGTTCTTTTTTAGTGCAAGAAAAACCTTAAAGAACTCACCAAGGACCGGCCGCTCCTCTTCGTCTGGCACCGGGCGTCGCTACTCCCGTTTTTCTCAGGCATACCTTCCCCTTCCTCCTCAACGAGCCAGCGCTGCGGGGCCGCTCCTCGCCCTTCCGCCTCGGCTCGCCGTACCGGCTCGAGCGACGTCCCCGCGCCCCCGGTCCCGCTCGTGGAGGCCCCGAGGCGCAAAAGCGCAGGAGGGTCCCGGGGCAGCAAAATGTAGGAAGGGGGCTCCCGCATCCCCATCCCGGCGGGCTCGTCCGGGATTTGAACCCGGGACCTCTCGCACCCGAAGCGAGAATCATACCCCTAGACCAACGAGCCGCTCTGGTGGTGCCTTCCCAGCTCAGCACTTCACTGCCATCCCGCCTCCTCCCGCCCAGGCCGCCCACGTCAGCGTGGGTCGGTCCTTGCCGACCACCGCCGGCGGCTTTTCCCAGCGCTCCGGAGCACACTGCTGCTCTCCCGAACTGCGGGGGCCGCGGCCATTTCTCCCTGCTCGCCCTCTCCGTCACCTTTCCCAGGGTAATCCCTGGCATCGCCCTCCCCCGACCCTACGGCTCCGCTCGTTAGCGACGGCTCCGCGTGTCCGCGGGGGGGGGCAGCGGCCCGCGCGGCGCTCCGCTGCTTTCCCCCGCGCACACCCCGCTCCCGCGCTCATCCGAGGGGCGCAGGAACAACGCAGTCTTCCCATTCCCATCCCCACTTCCACTCCCATTCCCGCTCCACGCGCGGTGGCGCTGGAAGCCGGGCGAGCTCGTTCTCAGGGGAGGCGGAGGAATGGGACAACCCAACGCCCCCCATCCCCCCCGCCCCCAGCGGGTTTGGTTCGTGCCGGGCCGCGCCTGCGCTGCGCCCCCTGGCGGCGCGGAGGGGTCGCACCGGGCGGGTCCCCCCGCGTGTCCCGGTGCGCTCGGAGCCCCCCGCGCTGATCCACGGGCGGGACAGGCGCCCATGGGAGCCGCAGGCACCGCCCTGGGGCTCTGAGCACACAGCACCCTCCTGGCTTGAATCCCGCGTGTCCCTGATGTGCTCTGTCCTGCTAATGCTTCCTGACATCCTCGTGTTTCCACGCCTCTGCATCCCAGAGTTTTTTCAAAAAGTCCTACTCCTCCCTGTTCTTCAGTAGTTGCTCTCTCATATTAAGTTTAAATTTTGAAGTCCTAATGCCAGTGGACTTCTCATCCCTTTTTTTGCCTGCTGCTACCAATTCTGTCCATTCTTCCTCAGGCTTCTTCATTTCTCCAGGAGGAAAAAAAAACACAGAGATTTTTGTTTTGCTTTGGTTTTATTCCACCATTTATTTATTCCGTTTCTCCCTCAATTTCCATTCCCGTGCTCGGGACACACACACACGTTCTCTGCACAGGCACACATGTATCTGTATGTCCAGTAAGGCACAACCACTCACATCCACTGTGCTGAGAGAGGGAACAGGGGCAGCCAGCGATTGCAGCCTGCCTGGAATACAAACTACAGCAAGCAGAATAAAATGGATTCAAAAGGCAACAGGGCTCCACAGCATGGCTCAGAAGGGTGTGGAGGTCGTGTCTGCCAACCAGCCCATGATAACTGAGGTCCCAGCAAGTGTGACCTCAGTCCATGTCACAGTATGGACATTTTCTGTGTGGCCAACGCAGCTCCAGGCACTGCTGTCAGGAAACTGGTCAAGCGAGGGTCTGACATCCACCTTCCCCCAAATATCCTCCAGATTTAAACTGTAGTGACTGCCAGCCCATGACTTTCAGTAGCCCAAGAGTGAATGCAAATCTAGTACAGGGCATAAATACTTTGGAGGGACTGGCTGCCTGAGCTTCACCAATTCAGCCAGGCAATGCCACTGGAAATTCAGCCAGCTAAGACTTCTTCTTTGACCTGCACACAGTGAATTGGCTGTTTCCAGGAAGCTGGGATGCTTTCTGTAATGACTGGTTCTTGGTGGCCACACACCAGAAGTTTCAAAACAGACTGGGTAGGGTTTGGAAGTGAGAAAGACTGAGGGACAAGCAGCCCTTCTAAATCTGGACTGGAGCCCAGAGCCAGATAAGAGAACCTGCCCTATTGACCTACTCAGCATGTTTTTTCTTTGCATACAATCTGCTGCTTGTCATTTTCCACCACAATGAAAGCACCCCAAAGCTGAAGCACACAGGACCTACCAGCCTACCACAGGTGGCTGTTTCACAGATCAGCCCACTTCAAAGGGATTTTATTTTTATATTTTATATTTATATATTTTTATGATCAATGTTCTAGGAGCTTTCCTCATATTCAGGGTTCACATTGTCTGCCATACAGCACATATGGAGAAACAGTTATGTTTCCTCTTGTTAAAACATTATTTACTGAAGTTTTAAAACCCAAAGAAGCTACTAAAAAGGCACTGTACAAGTATGTACGTATGTAACTGATGAACTTCATGTAAGACCACTGCAGGGGAGAAGAAAAAGACATTTTGGAGCAGGATGAAGAAACAGAAGGACTGTGAGTGGTGGTGGCTGTTGTCTCCAGGACAGTGGGTATCAGGTCCCCAAATATCACCAAGGAATTCCAGCCAACACCTGAGCTTTGAACCCTGAGGAGATTGCAAACAGCCTCCTGTCCCAGCTGTCCCACAACATGATGGTGCCAAGCAGAGAGCCAGAGTGGCCACTCAGCTCTGTGATGAGTCTGGACCTCAGGGGATTTCTGCATTCTGCTCCTCTCCTGCCACTGAAGGTTTTCCAGTACCTTCCATCTCGATTGGGTTGGATGGCTCCTATGCACAGGTTAAGTCTCCTCTGCCCTGACTGGGTGTGTCCTTTTGAGAGGGGAAAATAAGTAAGGAAATAATGAAAAATAATCATGGGTCTAAGCAAAGACAGTGCTGGGGAGTGCTGGGGGTGCTTGGGTGGTTTCTGTGCTAGGAGGCAAAGGTGAGCTGCAGCCTCACCATGGGAATCCTTCCCTCAGCTGCTCCTGGCCAAACCAAGGAAGCATTTGAAGAGGAGGTGGTTGAGGTGGGACAAGACACATCCATAGGCATCTGTGGCTATGTCATCAGTGGTTACAGAACACACAAGGAGGAGCATGGAACAAGGCCTGCTTCAGCCAGTGGAAATCCTCTTTTATTACAGTGGCAAAGGGCCATGCTTGCATGATTTCAGAGCTGATCATGAAACTGGGGTGCCCTGGGTTTGCTGGCAAAGCTACCAAGCTAAACACATAGGGAATATATATATATATATATGTACACATGTTTACATACATGTGAACACATATAAATATTTTATGTAAGGAGTCATACTGATCTAGTGTATACATGGCTACTGCTGGGGAAATGTGCATTTTACTGCAAGTACTTCCAGATTGCTTTCAAAACAGCAATGCAGGAGGGTGCCTGGTGAGCAGAGCCTCTCCATTATACTGAATGCACAATCAGCTTTGCTTCTTTCCCATCATCTCTGTAACATCACCCAGGAGAGCTGCTTGCTTTGAGTACCCTGCTTCACAGTCTCTGCACGCCTGAGATCTGAGGCTTTGACATGTGGGGAGCAGCAAAATCATTGTTGTGTTCTGTCACAGTTGCCATTTTTGCTAACAGCAAAACCCTCAGGTGCCTCAGGAGCCACCACCACGCTGGCCCATCTTACCTGTGTGTCACAGCTGTGCTGTGCCCTGGTCCTGCGTGACAGGCACTGAAGGCTCACTGGCAGTCCCTAATCCCACTGCATCCTGCAGTGGCTCAGGTGCCAGCGCTGTTTCCTCAGTGTCTGATGTTCTCTGTGTGTCTGTGCTCTCACTGCTCTCCTTTGTCTCAGCTTCCTCCTTCTCCTTGTCTCCCTTTCCTTGGTCACAGGCACTGCTTTGCTGCTCTTCTCCCTGGGGACTGTCACTCATCTCATTGTTTCCAGAGGGAGGCTGAGGAGAGTTCTCTCCTGGGCCATCATGACACACTTCCTCCTCCTTTGTATTCCCTGTGTTATTCTTGCAAGGAGCAATTTCCTCTGCCTGCTTTTCCCCTTTTTCCCCATCTTCTGATCTACTGGATCCTCTCCTTGATGGGGGCTTCTCACCAGACTCTGCCTGTTTCTCCTGCTCTTTGCTCCCTTTTTCTTCCTCCTCTGATCTGCTGGATCCCATCCTTGAGGCTGGCTTCTCATCAGACCCTGCCCGTTCCTTTTGCTCTTTGCTCCCCGTTTCCACCTCCTCTGTCTTGCCATTGGGCCCAAAGACCTCATCTTCCCTGGCACCATTTTCTGGAGAGGACAAGCTGACCCCCAGATCTTCCCCATCTCCGCACTCGGACAGAGACCTCCGGAACCTTCGGGAAGGGGGCCGGCGCTTTATGGATCCTCGCGTCCGCACCTGGGGGCAGGGAAAGCAGACAGCAAAGCAGTCAGGAGAGGGGAACGGAAAGCAGGAATGCACAAGACAGGAAAATGCCTCTGGATGCACCAGTTGAAATGAGGCAGATGAGGCAGGTTGAGGAAGGAGTCTGTACTCCAGCTGGTGATGGTCAATGCAGGTTAGAGCTCCTCACTTAAGTGCTGAGCGCTCTGGTGACACCTGAGAAACTGAGAAACTCTGTGTGGCCCTCCAAACTGAGCCTCAGCCACCTCAGACATTTGCTGGCACCTGCTCACAGCAGCCCCTGGCACCAGCCACCCCATCATTGCCCAGCTGAGGTGACTGGGTCCTGCCCCTCCATCCCTTCCTTCCCACACACTGGCAGAGAGGAGCCTCCACACAGCTACACTGAAATGCTCCCTGGAACCTGCTGCACTAATCTTCTCTCTTGGCCACACTCTTACAGCAGGACTGAGGGCTCAGCCTCCTCTTCCTCCTCATCCCCATGCAATAAGCAAGCTTTGTGGAATGGAGAAGTCCCAGCACGTATCCCCTACCTTGTTGTAGAACTGCAGCTGCGTGCTCTCTGGGGGCTGATCAAAGCTCACCGGCGTCTCGCTGGGCTGGCACTGGGTCCCTGGGCTGGTGGGCGTTGTGGGAGGTGTGCTGAATGGAGAAACCAGGACTTTCACCCCAGGGCTTTTGGGAGACACTCCCGGCAGCAGAGCAGCTGGAGCAAAAGCCAGATTGGCCTGCAATGAGAAATGCCCATCAGGGGCACGCGGGGCAGCAGCGTGCGCTACACACCACAGCCACACAGGGGAACCCCTGCCCTGCCACAGCTCTCAGCTGTCACAAGCCACACACCTCCTGGCTCTGGGTTCCTCCTGGTGACACTGTCAACAAACAAGCCTGGGCAGAGAAGTTATGACTGGACATTTGTCTTTCCCTGGCAGCTGGAACTCAGGACATGTTCTTTTGTCATCCTGAGGCCTTTTGGGATTTTCCAGTGACCCAGCCAATACACCACAGTGCAGTGGCTGAGCTGGCAGAAAATCTGAACAAGCAGCCAGCAATGGTTCAAGATTTAAACCCTTCTGCATGTGTCTAACAGGAGCTTGCATTTTCTAACCTGATCTTGCAGAATGACCTGTGCAGCTGTGAGAAGATCATGGAAAGCAGCGAGCTTGTGATTAACTGTGGCAAAACACCTCCTGCTGGCCTCTCACTGGGAAGCTCCCCTAGGCAAATGTCCTTGGGTGCATCAGGAGGGACAGTGCTATGAATAGGCTCAGGTTGTGTCAGGGTGGCCAGGAGGCTCTGGAGTGACACGTGCTGCTGGGACAGGCGGCTGGCAGGGGCAGGGCACACTGTCTTCAGGCCATCGAGTGCTGAGCTGCCCTCAGCAGCGCAGATCAGGCACCAGAGAAGCACAAAAAGGGCAGAAAGTGCTGGGTGTGCTGTGTGTAGCTGCAGGAATCCAGAGGAGGGAAGTGCAGTGCAGAGCTCCCAGGCACACACAGGGGACAGCCTGGAGCACACACCCCACTGCCAGGATTGTCACTGCCTGTGCTCGAGGCCAGCTCCCCAGTGGAGAGCAGGGGACTCAAGTGAGGGACACTGCTGTGAGGAAAGAGCTGGAGGAAGTCTCAGCCAGGGCTTCCCTCACTTTCTCTCAAGAGCTGCACCTAAACTGAGGCCCTGCCCCTGCTCAGGCAGAGCTGCTGCCGTGCCCATGCCCAGCCATGTACTCCAAAATCCAAATGATCCTGATCCATGCACTGACATGCTTATGGGCACACCTGGGGATCACTGGACTGCTTCTGGTGCCCAGTACCATTACCAGACCTGCTCTGCCTTCCCCTTTGTGTGTGGTGGGGCTGGATCCTCCCCAGTGAGGCCCTGTTTCCCTGGCTGTCACCCCTGGCTCCTGCATCCCCTTCTCCTCTGCAAGGGAAGGAGCTGTGACCAGTGTAAATCAGTTTTAATCTGCTGTGGGCAGATTAAAACTCCCAATAAATGTTATCTTCTTTTTCCCAGGGAAGCCACGTGGGCTCTGCCAGGACCTACCTGCAGCTTTTCAATCATGGGTGAACTTTTCACCTTGACCTTGGGAATGGGGCAAGCATTTGGCGACCGCTTCTGCAAAACAGAATGAAACAGAACATCACAGGGTGGTAGGTGGAAAAGAGGAAATACAAAAAAGGCAGAAAACTTGGAAGAGATAAGCAGAAACTGTTTGTAGGGAAGCAAATGAAGCTTCATATAGTGCTCCAACACAAAAGTTTCTTTTTCTTCATTCCTGACCCCATTCTCCTTTTGCTATCTAGTCATCCTAGGGCTAGATATATGAATCCCTCTTCTGGGCAAAAAGGGCTGCTTGCTGTCTGAAGTGTCTGAGTTAGGTGATGTGGGATGGCTCTGCTCCTACACTGCCTTCATTAAAGTATCTAGCCTGTGGCACAGTTTCTCCTGGTATTGTTTCAGGACCAGGCAGATTAAAATTCTACCTCTTAAACCCTTAATGTTGGCAAATATTGTGAACTTTCTGTAATGGGAAAGACTTTCTGCCACCACTTGAGTAACCAAGTTAAAGGATATCCAATTAGTATAAGCAGGAAGGGCCTAAATGGCAGGAAAGGTAGAGCTATGAAAAGGCTGGAAGCAGTTTGAGAAAGAGAGAGCATTGCTTTGAGAAGGGGCATATTGCTTTTTTCAGAAAAGGAAGGAATCTAACATTTTAAAACTTAATGTTCCTTTGGCAGCAAGAGCCTGTAGCTCACAGATAAGAAGGACAAAGAACTACCTGCTTGTTAAGGGCAGGTGACAATGTGAAATTTGGTGGGTAGACCTCATACCCTGAAATACTGAAGGACAGAAGTGACCAAAGAGGGCCTGAGGGTAAAATTTCATAAGTAGCAGCCAGCTTACTGAGACCTGCTCATTCCAGGGTCCTAAAGAAATATTCAGTGGGTATTGCCAACAAGCCCTCTCTTCACTCTGGATTAATTATTCCTTTTCCTTGAAGATGGAAAAATCTCACGAGCACAACTATTATCCTCATTACGCTCAACAAACAGCATGGGTGCTCCCTGTTCAAATCTAATAAATACCAGTGGTTCCTCAACAGTGGTAACTGGATGGATCCATCAGCAGCCAAAAGCACCAGGAATGGGCTGTGCAGCCATGCTGCAGGAGCAGGGAGCAGCATGGGGCTGACTCTGGGTCAGGACATGTGTGAGAGCAGGGGCAGGTTTGCTGCTGCCTGATGGATGGCTCTGACTGCAGCCTGACCTCTCTGCCACCTCCAGGCTCGTGTCTCAGGAGAGAACAGGCTGCAGAGAGGAAAGACCTTGTCCCCCTATTAGATTGATACTCACTTGCTCATCATTGTCACTTGTCTCAGTTTTGTGGGAATACAGGGGAAGGGAGCAGGGTGGTTTCCTCCGAGTTGGCTTATGTGGTGGCACCTAAGAGAAGAAAACAACCAACTCAGCAGCAGGGAAATCAGGTTTCTTAAAAAGGAAGTGAAATTCAAGCACCAAAGGGCATGCTGTGTGAGTGACCTGCTCATGAGGCAGGGCTCAGCCTGCCCAAATGAGTCATCCAAAGGCAGCAAAAGATGGTATTGGCACATGGCTGTGCTTGTGGCATGTAGAGCCCAGTCCTAGTGTTGGAAGAGCAGTTTGTATCTTTTTCTTTGTGCAACACACACTCTTCTAAGCTGTGGAGGGTGGAGAAGCCTTCCCAGAAACTTTGCCTGCAAAGCATCCTCCTGGAAACCCCTTCACACTGGAGAGGTTGTTACTGTTCTCTTTCCTGTCATTACCAGGATTTCCTCTCACTGAGTCTCAGCTGCCTGGTTCAAGATTTCCTCCTTTATGTCTGATATATTTTGGGGCAAAAAGGAGAATTCGGACTTTTTCAGAATTTCAGCCCATTCATTTCTCTTGAATGACATAAAGCAGTGCACAGGGACAAGGCCTCAGCTGCAACCTTAAATTTGACTAAGAAACAAATTCTCCAGAGGAGAAGGAGCAAGGCAACTTAATGGCAGGGACACTGATTCCTTCTGAATGTCCTTGGGCTCTCAGAACTAAGAGAGAGCTCCTTAGGAAGGAGGGATGCATAGCACATAACCATTGCTCTGCTCTTGCAGCCAAGCTGTCTCTATTTTTATGCCAGGCTTGTAGTCTCCTGCCAAGCTGTTAACACACTTTTCATGTGTTAAAAAAAATAATCCAAAATAACTGGCTAATATCTGTAATCTTGGATAATATCCACAATTAAATATTTGCATAATTTTGTTACCTTCTCACAGGCTGGCATGTGAAAAGTTGGATTATGGCATCTTTGCCCTCTCTACAGTTGGCTGCCTTGGAGGAGCTGTGGACCTGATGTCACTTAAATTCTGGAGGTGCTGCACCCAGCCATGGCACTGCTGCATCTCTAAGCAGTCCAGGGCAGCCCTGCCCTTATCCTTGTGTCATGCCAGGAAGCAAAAATGTGCCTTGTGGAAACCCCACCATTCTGCAGCCATGAAACGCTGCACTGTGCCACAGTGGATGTGCCAGAGGTTCCCTGGCTGACAGGGTTCCCCTCTGCTGGCATGGGCCAAGCAAGGGTTAAAGACCATCCCCTGGGTCATTAATCTGAAGCCAGCTTGAGAAAGCTGGTGGGGAAGTGACAGATGGCTTGGAGAGAAAAGACAGGAAACTTTGTGCTCCCCTGTCTCTGGAGAAAATGAGTTTCTCTGCACTGTGAGGCCTCTCCACGCTGCCCTGGCTTGGGAGCAGCAGAGGTCTGCAGATAACACAGGAGAGGTCTGGGAACTTTCTGCCTTCTGAAGGGTGAGGGACCTAGTGCAAGTAAATCCCAAACCTTCAGAAGAGGAAATTACTGTAATGGGATGGACTGTGTGTGCTGGCAACTGGAGGGAAAAAAACAGAGCTTGGGAAAAGACTGGCTATTCCCATCCTGAGAGTGCTAAACTCTGACAGATGATGGCATGCCAGCCTGCAGGGCAGAGGTCACCACTGCATCCAGCCAGGGACAGGAGGGTGACAGGGAGGATACCCTTAGGCCAGGCTGGGATCCAGAGCTGAGGGGCAGAAGGGAGCAGCTCAGTTTCAAAAGGTGCCTGAAAAGGGCCATCAGCAAACATCTATGCTTCTAAAAGAAAAAGGCATAGTGATATAGGAGGCTCTCTGAAAATGTCCTCCTTTCATAAATAACCCTGACTTTTCTTTTCTTCCTAAGAGAGGTATTCCAGTGTTTTGCTTAGCTGGAGAAAGTCAGCGTGTGAGGCAGTGCTTGGCATAGTGGGATGTCATTAAAATAGAGTTCAGCATGATAGAGATAGGCACAGAGTCTGAAATATCATTGGGAAGAGGCAATGAAGGTGAGTAAAGAGGCAGCTTTCTCTCAGACCTACACAGCAGTAATAACCTGGAGGAAATTCCCTTTTGATGACATGCCACTGGCTGCTACACAGCATCATCTGTTGTTTGTGTCTTTTCCCATCAATATTGGCTACTGCATTATCCACTGCTGCTGCCTGCCCACAAAAGCAGCCCAAACAGGACATGCATGCACTGCTGTCTGCTGCTGTTGGGTAAATCTGTGCACCTTACCAAGCTCTGCAATGTCCTGGTTAGGGTCTCTCCCAAGACAAAACACTCACCCACCAATCAGCAATGCATGGAAGATGCAGCCCCAGCTTGCATTGCACAAGGAGATGAATCCTTCGTGCTGATCCAAAATCAGGGTGGACTCATGCTCAGATCACTGATGTTCCAGCAGGAAGAGACAAGTGATTAACTTCCCTCTCATTTCCTGCTGGTGGCTGCAGAGCACCTTACCTCTTTTCCAGGGATATTGGCTGCTTGCTCTTTGAACTTCCCTGCTAGCTGAGCCACTGAGGGTGATGCTGACTTGTCCACCTCTGAGTTGGTCTCTGCTGGCCTGTTCTGACAAACCAGGAACAACAAGTTGTGAGTGAAGGCTGGAAAAAGCAAGCCTGTGTATGTGTTACAAAGTTCAAGAGTAAGCAAGGACTTGAAGCAGAGTTTCTCACATCTGGCATCAATCAGCCAGCCTGAGAGCAAGAGGTTTTGGAAGACAGGATTTAGCAGCATTTTCAAATATCCCAGAAAATCAGTAATTCATGCAGAGCCTTTCAGCTTCAGCTGAAGAGCCCACACTCAGTACTTTTCAATGGAAGCAAACCAGGTGTCTCAGGCCACGTGTCTGCTCCTCTCATCCTTGCAGTGAGCAGATGCAGCAGGCAGTAATGTACATTCCCACACACATCCTCAGCCCTCTCACACCCTTGTTACTGCCCTGGTCACCATCAGCCTTGCTTTTCCAGTGGTTCTGCTGTGATTCCCAGTCCTCACAGCAAGCCAACATCTGCTTGGAGATGTGTCCCTTGCTGCTCTGCTTTTTTCTCAGTGCAATATTGAGGTGGGAGGGGGGGAAGGAGGAAATGCCATGGCTGAGAGAAGCCACCCCTCCCCTGGGTCTGCAGCAGGCTGAGAAGCAGAAGGCTTGTGCTGGAGTCTGCATGATGCAGCTCTTCCCACACCACACTGCCCTCGTGTCATCCCACATTCACCTTGTTTTCTTTGCTGTGTGTCTATTGAGCAGGGTGAGTAGAAAGCCTTGAAATCAAAGCTGTTAAAGGAAACCTTTGTTCTTCATCTCTAGTATCTGATGCTGGGGAAACCAAACCAGAGGAACTGAGAATAACCAACCAACAATTGTTTTTCCAACCAGGAATAACAAGCCTGATTCTGTTAGAGGTGGAGAGCTCAGAACAAGAAATCAGGCTACAAACCATCAGTAAGGAACCTCACACTTCACAGCTCCCTGTACCACCACCATGAACCCATGACCAGCACCACACTTCTCACCCCACTGCCTCAGAGCCCTTTCTGTTTCTCAGTTTTTGTTGGCATTGTAGAGAAAAGCCTTTCCCTTTCTCAGAGAGCTGTAAATAAATACTCCCAATAAATGTTATCTTCTTTTTCCCAGGCCCACAGGCCCCTGTAGGTGTCTGCCATTCCCTGTTAAATTTCCCATACACTTTGGAATAGCTTTCCTGAATCCAAGGAATCATATCAAGCTGTCTCGTCCCAGTGACCTTCACGCACCTTCCCCTCATCTTTTCACCTTTCACTGGAGTAATTACAGCAGGGAAAGTGGCAGATAATGGAATGGAAGAAAGAGTGAGGCAAGCAGATCAGCAGGGCAACCTGCTGCACATGAAGAATCTTGGCTGGGCTAAGTGGGGAGGGACACCAGTTCTAAGATGCAGGCTGTGTCTCCCTGCTGTGAAGGGAGGGCAGGCTGGAAAGAGGAAAGAGCAAAGAATGAACTTGGAGAATACAGAATGGACTGGGAGGCTTGGCTCATCATATCAGCTTCTGGGCATGGTAGAATGGACACCTGAAGTAAGGACTCAGTTGAAACTGAGCAGCTGCAAGTGCTCTGTCTGTGGCAGAAAGGCTGCCTCCCTCGTAGTCCATTTTTCCTCCAAGAGCTTCTTTCACAGCCCTTTGCCTTTTCCCAGAAAAGACACTGAACTTCCTCTTGGCCCCTCTGACCTCTTGCTTTCGGGGTGAATTTTTCCTTTCTTTCTCTTTCTTTTCACTTCAGCCTGGAAACACAGCTGCCTTTCTTTGATCAGAGCTGGGAGGGTTCCATGGGTGTCCTGTGCTGGCGGCTCCTGCGGGCGCAGGAAGCTCTGAACATGCCATTCTAAGATTAGCACCAGTAGCCCAGGGGCTGTGTCCTCCACAAACTGCCAGCTGCACACTCTCCCATTATGGAAAATAAAGGCAGGAAAGGATCCTTACTCAGATCCCTTCTGGCAGTTACACTGCTGTGCTATATCCAGCATTTTTTACAACTTTTTTCTCTGCCTCAGGTGATGTGCCAGGCTCAGTCTCTTCTGGTCAAAGGAAGGTGTTGTATTTGGGTGCAAAAAATTCCCTTCCTTGCACTGTAAGGAACATAATTCCTTTGATTTCCAGGAGCTGGGCTGGCAGTCTCCCTCTCCTCCTTCCACCACTGTGAGGAAGGTGGGAAGCCTCATTTTATCACTTTCAACCCAGAGCCCTCAGCCCTCAGCCTCTTCCACACCTAAGACTGAGACATCTGCTTCTCTCACCCCCAAGCTCAGTGCTGGCTCTCTCCTGCCCCACAATATTAATTATGCAATCTTTCCCATTCCTGGTGATGCTGCCCACCTTGGTGAAATAACCCACCACTACTTTTCTAAATGGTTGTGAGAAGTAGCTCTGTTCATTTTTTTGCTATAATGGTGCAATTACTCACAAATTATTTTTGTCCTTTTGCAGTCAAAATTCTTTTCCTTTTCACAAGAAAAGCATAATCAGCCTGCATGGGCTAAAACCACTGAGTTAAGGTTAAAGGCTTAGTCCATCAGTAATTTGGTGACTGATATTCTGAGATCTTTTGCTGTTCCACAAAAATAAGCATTGTATGTTCTGAGAAATGTCAGACAGAGCTGTAAATGGGAATTTAATTATACCATCAATGTAAGCATGGCACTGTCTGCAAAAAAAAGGAAGTGCAACTACCAAGTTCTCTGTAAGGGGCTTGTTTCACTTTTCTCTTCCAAATAAATTTATAAAACTGAGTAAATTTGAAAACGGTTTTCAAAACCATGTTTCTTCATCTGCTTTTAAAACTGAGCCTAGTCCCTGTTAGCACTGGGGAAGAAAGTTCTGCCTTTATCTGTGTCTGAGGTACAAATGTGCCAGTCTGAGCCTCCCAAACCTCTCCTTCCTTATGCATTGGTGTCCTTACCTCTCCTGTGAGAGCAGAACTGCCCACCAACCCCTGGCTCTGCAGATTGTGTGAAGGGAGGCCACTGTTTTTAGCACAGATCCTGCTCCTCTCACAGGCTGCCTGGGTCCACTGGATCCTCACAGAAATGACCTGCTCCACTAGGTCCCCACAGAAATGTCCCACCATGTACCTGGTTTGAAAAGAGGAAAGTTCTACTGGCTGTCATTCAGTGCAGAGTTTTGGCTAAATACCAGCTGAGTAACAGCAGAGATCCATACTTCCCTAACCTCCTTCCCTCCCCTATGAATCCTCTCACTCATCTGCTTTTGCAGGTAGGACCTTCTGGCCAGATGGGTCACCTTTTATCTGAGAAACAACACCTCCACAGCACCTTGCAAGGCTGGAGTATTCAGCAGCTATGAAATCAGTGATGGTTACACAAATTTTGGTACTGGTCCTGTGCAACTATCAGCCCAATTCTCATGCAACTGCATCTAGACGTGATTTTGAGGCCAGTCCCTGATCTCCATGGTTTGAAAACGTCCTGTTTTCAAAAAAGCTTCACAGGAATGATTCCCTGTAGCCTGTTCTCACACCAGCCCATCATGCCAGATTCTGTGCTCACACAAGTGCTACAAAGCTCCAGTGTGACCCTCATAGGGATCTTTTCATTGCTGCATACACAATCTACCTCAGCAACAGCAAATAAGGCAAAAATAATTTTAAATACAGTGTCTCAGAGGCAGATACAATAAGGTATCCAAGGCTCAGGGCCAGTGACTTGATTACAGATTCAGAAAGGGTGATATTCGGCACCCAGTGCTGCACCATGAGAAGGGAGTTGTCAGTGTGCTAGAGGAAAACAAGAAGGTGTCAGTTTTTGGGGCACAGTTTCATAAGCCCTGGGTTTCAGACAGCTTCTGTTTCCAACCACTCATTCTCCCCTGACCTTTCCTTTCCCCCTTCCCCCCTCCCCTGCACCTGTGTGAGTTTGTGGGGCTGTGCTGTAAACTGGAGCACTGAAATGATCAGGGCTTAAAATACACCCCTTAACTCTTTACAGGGTTATTTTTAACCCGGATCATTTCAGCCTTGGAGCTCACAGCATGGCCCACCACGTGCTTGCCCTGCTGTAGTGGAAAGGGAGGGAGAGGTGACAGGGCCAGCCTAAAGCACAGAGGAGAGGGCTGGAGCTTTAACTGCTCCAGCCAGAGCCAGAGGAAATTACATCCCTATGTGTCCTCCTGTTCTGACAAGACAGAAAAATCTTATTTTTGCATGCCTGCTGGTAGAGGCTGGGCTGGTCTGTGCCAATGGTGTTTCATGAGGTGCAGCCAAGTCCAGGCCATGACCTGTGAGCCACCACAGGGAGCACATCACTGGTAAGGAGTTGCCATTGAGCACCCACAAAACACCCATAAATACCATGTCAGCCACCCCCAGCAGCTCTAAATCAAACAACAGCAGTCACAAAGTGTAAGCAGGCTCTCTCTGCTGCATGGCAGAGGCCAAGCTCTACACCTGTAAAACCTGCTCAGCTAAGGAAGGGAAGGGGGATGCATCTGTGGGCAGAAAACTCCTGAAGTCAAAATCAACCATCACCACACTCTGCCTGGAGGCCAGAACTGGGAAGCAGTGCTGTGGTTTTGCTGGGATTAGAGCACCAATCCTGACCAAGGCTGGATTTCAGGAGGGAACAGAGCCTCTTGCAGGCCCTCGCTTCCCTGCCTGGCTCAGGTCTCCCACAGCAAAGCATTCTGCACAAAGCCTTGCCAGGACTGACCCTTCTCGTTTTTCAGTGAGGTAGCTGCAGGACTCGAGGAGCCAGCCAGCCACAGCCCTTGTCTGCACAGGAAAGCTTACACCAAACTGAGCCAGCTCTCCCAGCTTGCAGGGCAAAACACAGCCTTAATCTGATCGAGGTGCTGCTTTTCTGCCCAACTGAACTCATTTGCAAATTGGCTGAAAGGAGCTGTTCTCAAGCTCACCAGTGCCTGATTCTGACACAGAAAGCAGCATTTTGGGAATGACACCATAAGCTGCATCAGGGAATACAGCTCCTTTCAGGGTTCCCCAGGGGCTGGAGGGGGTGAATGTCTCCTACTCCTGCACTGAGGTGCTGCCTCTTCCCCAGAAAGGTTCCCCTGCAGAG